AGAAAAGAAAATGTAGTGTGTGTATATATATATATATATATACATATATATATATATATGTATGTATAATGCAATACTATTCAGCCATAAAGAATAATGAGATCCTGTCATTTACAACAATATGAATGGAACCAGAGATCATTTTGTTATGTGAAATAAGCCAGGCACAGAAAGACAAACATTGCATGTTCTCATTTGCTGGCTCTAAAAATTAAAACAATTGAACTCATGGACATAAAGAGTAGGGGGTATGGTTACCAGAGCCCGGGAAGGCTAGTAGGAGCAAGCAGGATGGTGAATGGTTACAAAAAAAATAGAATGAGTACTATTCAATACTTATTCGAGTCTTAGTATTTGATAGCACAACCGGGGAACTATAGTAAATGATAACTCAATAAGTAAAAAGATATAATTGGATTCTTTATAACATAAAGAATACAAACTTGAGGAGATGGATACTCCATTTTCCATGATGTGATTAGTACTCATTGCATATCTGTAACAAAACATCTCATGTGCTCCATAAATATATATGCCTACTATGTACCCACAAATTTTAAAAATTTAAAAAATAAAAATAAAAAATAGGGGATTATACTATAATATGTCTCAGGATGGTGATGAGGAATAAGTAAATAAATGCAGATAAAACATTTAGAAAGTGTGTATCATACATATTATTTGTGGTTGTTACAATTATTAAAATAACTTTTTGTCTCCTACTGCAATTGTAGCATGGTCTCCTTTCTTTAAAGAAGACACAGACTGTATCCATTCCCATGCTTATAGTAATTTTTGTAATCTAGAGAAGGGTCAGGAAACTATGGCCTCTAGGTCAAATCAAGCCCACTTATTTTTTATTATCTGGCTTTTACAGAAAATGTTTGTCAACCCCTGATTTAGTGTAAAACAAAGTTTCAAAGTTTATTTGAAAAGTCAGTGAAAGACAATCGTTTCTCCTTTGTCTCTGTTGCTTGTTGCTATGGGGATTCAAACAAGTCACATTACCTTCCCACAACTCAACTTCTTAATTCATAAAAATAAATACCCACACATATAAGAAGGTAATCATAATTTTCTTACTTATATAATTAGTATATATTTCAATTATAACAATATGCATAAAAGTGCTTGGCCCAATTTAATTAACTAAAGCAAATTTGGGGCATTAATCATCAACAAGATTATTAAATCTAATCCACTCATTCACCTTCTTGATGACAAATCTTGTAACAGGTCTAAACTTGCTCTGCCTCAGCTGATTTTGGGACCAGGCCAGTGCTGTGGCCTTCTTTAGCTGAAATGAATAATATCTTCCCATTTTGAGTCTTTAGAATAATGAATTAGGTTATGGGATACAAGGAACATATGATTAAGTAATTATTTTATTTTCTCTCTGAAGGGTCATCATTAAAAAGTAGTGCTTTCCAGCCAATGGCATTGAAGCTGCACACACACGGCTCGAAGGGGCCCTTTGCCAGTTGGCCTCACTGAACCCCTGACATGCTCTCCTGCATTTTGTTGTCAGAGTGTGTTCGTTCCTTGATAATTCTGCATTACTGTCCTAGGGCTCTTAGGTTCACAGCTTCATGTTTCTTCCCTCTTGCTGGCTTTGGACTCTTTCTTTGTTGAATAGAATTTTCTCCTCTGTCTAATCCCACATTTCTCAGACTTACTGCTTAAAGCAAAGGAAAATGTTCCACAATTGGTATGTTCTTTTTTCTGAAAACTGAAGATCCTGATCCCTTGTCTCATCCCAAACCAAGCTATTAGAAAGAAACACAGTTCTGTCTACAAAGCAATGGGTTTTCCTTTTGATATGCAGCACCCTCCCTTTCATTCTCCTGGAGAGTACATTGTAGTCTATCTATCATTACTCTTAGTGTCATATAAAGAAATTCAGTTCTGTTAAAAGCCTGAGGATTTATAGAATAAGGACTCATAAAGCTAAACCCTGAGGATTAGCCCTGTCCAATTCTCTGTAACCAGTCATGGCAGGAGACCTTTAGGAACCCATAAGAGACAGAGCATGGCAGAGGGTTTCTTACATGTAAAAAGGTTCTTCAGTCATTCTCTTGTCTGAGCTGTTTTATCACTTAGAAAAGCTGAATGTACCTGTTCCCCGGGTTTGTAGGAAGTAAAAACTTCTTACTCCACACATGCTTAATACCAATTATAATTTTGACAGGTTACAAACATTATATTATGTTATTATTATATTACAAACATTTGTTTCCATTCTTCCAGTGAATGTGGCAATACACAGAAAACTGGATTAATCACACACTAAACACTAAGAGTAAACAGCTCAGAATTATTTAAAATCCTGCCTTGAAAAGAGATGTATAACAACAGTCAAGAATAAAATTTTCTTTAAAAACAATAAAAAAGTACCGTTATGCTAGATCTGCTTACCTTATCTGCTCAAACTCCTTCAGGTCAACTTTAGAAAGCAACTAGTTTCAAGTCATAAAGAAAAATTATCAAGCCCCCATAATCTCAAAAAGTTGAAAAAGTTTCATTAAAAGATCTGAAGACTCTATTTTCCTGCAGTAGAGGTTAGGATAGGTCAAGTAGAGCTATAACAGCAATTCATCTGGGTATTAGATTTTAGACCATAAACCCATTTGCCTTGGCAAGATACTTTAACTTCTAGTTTGATCTTGTCAATTAAGTGGCAAAAGAGGACATTTTCAACGAAAGCTAATTTATAGGTGTGCAATGCAGATAGTTTATTGGGAAGTATTGTGGTCTTGTCTTTGAGGGTGCCTCCTCTTGGGTTATGGAGGTGAGCCAGATAACTCTACCTGTTTGGCAGAGGGAGGGTGAATCACATGTGACTAAATTTTCTAATAGATTACTGGATGATTGCAGACAGGGTAGGATGAATAAAACCTGGTCCTACAATGCTTAGAGAAGAAATGGCTGCCTGGTTCCAAAAAGTTCTTTCCTTCTTGGTTTACCTTTTTCTACTCCTTTAGATTTCTCATGCTGAAGATTTATGGCCACCAAATTCAAATTCTGCAGCCCCAAAGCCTCAGGCTGATACTAGCCAGAACCCAAATAATGAAGGCATTTATGGAAAGATTCAGCACTATGGGCTAGGTTGAACAATAAGAGAAAACATTCTAATGTTAAATCACTTTTAAATAGATATTGTGTAAACAATAGAAACAAACCTGGGAAAATGCCTCTCCATGGACATACAGTGAATATGAACATGATTGTGTTGCTGAGGTTGGTATATTCTACAATGGAATATACCTGTAACGTACGGACCTCTTTTACTTTATTTCTTCCCTCCATAAATAGTTGACTCTTTCATATGTAAAAATTATGTTTCCTTTTGTTAGCAGTAATGACCTTCAATTAGATCATGTGTTTTTATCATATCAATTTGTGGAAGTATTTTTATTCAAGTTATTTATAGAACAGTTAGGTCTGTCTGTCAAAGGCCTTAGTAATCTTTAGTGTTTGCTGATCTGCTTTTAATTCATCAAAGTCCTCCCTCAATAAGCACTGAAAAAACACAGATGCAGCAGATATTTCCCCTCTGCAATGTATATTTGATATGCTTAATGTTCATCTTTACACACACAGAGATGTTGGCATATAAGAAATGTGGAGGTTGTCTATAAATTCAAGGAAACATTTAGGTGCACAGTGATACACAGATACATGGGCATAATACTTTATGTACTTGATAAATATTTCATCTCTACTATAAAAAGAGCTTTTTATCACCTTTGATTGTTTTTTTATTACCTTAAAGTATTGTAGTTGTTTCTCAGTATTCATTGTTCCTTCCTTTTCTTGTCTTAGACAGGAATTGAAGATGAAAAGCTCTGTATCTCTTAGCCACCCTTTCAGTTCTTTGATCCTGACTTCCAGCTGCCTTACCAGGCTTCCGCTTTCAGGAGAGAGCAGGTCACGTGGACTCGACCCACTGTGCCCTGCCATTGTGTCCTGGATCTTCTCTCCTAGGGTTTTCTAATGCATCACATTAAAAAACAAAAAATAAAACAAACAAAAAAACCCACCACGAACAACAACAACAAAAAAACAAAAACATAGATTAGCTTAGATACCAGAAACACATCACAGTTTAGTTTGTAATAAGAGCCACCTAGAAGTGTCCATCTATACCTGCCACCTCCCTACTGACATTCCGTTCAGATTAGATCATTGTTCTGTTTAGTATTTGAATTCTCAG